TATTTAAATTATTACACTTATGCACACGAACAGGTTACGTATGAATACACGTTGCGTTCATTTTGAGGTTAAGTTAAGAAAGAACGGCGAAATGAAATTAATTCTAATATTACGAAGAAATTGTAATAGTGAGGTTAAAGAAAAACGTTTTTATTCGCGACGTGAACAAAGTCTCACTCGCTTGGAAATACTACGATTATCGGAAACTGATATTTACACATAGAGGAGAATTCTCCTATCCTATCGATTGCTCTATCGATTCGCGTGATTTTCAATGGCGTACTCGAGCGGAAACAAAGGAAATGTAATTCCTTTTTCCTCTACTTTTCTTTTCATTTCTTTCTTTCTTTTTTTTTTTTTTTTCCTGTTTTTATAAGGCAGATTCATGGAATCGATAATTCATACTCACTTTAAAAATATGCAAATACGTATCGCGTATTTCGTAATAGTTCGAATTTGCAAATCGAGAATTATTTAAATATTGCAATAATTCTCATTTTGCAATCGTATCGCTATTATCAGAAACGTAAATAATTTTTCATGAAAGAAAAAATTTACCTATCTCTAATTTTTTTTTTTTTATTATATCGTATATTTCGTAACACTTTGTATCATTGTTGCCTAACTATTGTAATAATTCTCTAGTATTGCTGTCAGGAACGTAACAAAAATAAAAATTTCAACCAATTAATTAATATTTACAATCAATAACATTATTATAATAAGACTACTACTAAATAAATAAAATAAAATAAAAAAGTAAAAAAAAAAGCAAAAATTTTCAATTCAATCAAATAACCAAGAAAAAGCCTCGAAACAAAATTTGTTGATTCTCGTCTTGTGTCTTGGCATCGAAGAATCCAATCCACCAAGTTTTATTCGCGTCTGATGACACCCCGATATGGGACAACGCGTGCAAATCCGTTTGTGCTCACGCGTCCGTATAAATTGCGCGACACGCGTGTGTCAGTTATAACGACGAGCGTATTACACGGCTGAAATCGATATTGGCCGGCAGAATTTATGGTCTTGCGATGGCCGAATCATCGATTCGTGTAACGACCTCGTATAACTTGTCCTCTAAATGAGACGTCGCACGATAGCCAATAGTATGGAGGGATAAGAAATCATGACGAGAAGAGGGTGAGGAGGGGGGAAGATCGACAAGGATTGCCAAAATTTTTATAGATCCCTTGGTCGATGATTCTTTTAATCGTTATTTCGAGTGAAGGAATAAGAATAAGGAAGATGGAAGATGCGAGAGGGAGAGAGAATGTAGGAGGATATTGGAAGTTCTTGGGATAAATTGTTGGGTGGAAGAATTTTAGAAATTAATTTTTAAACGCATAACGATGTAAATATTGTAAATATTGAAGGGAGAAAATGGGAAGATATTCTTGAGGATATTCTTGAAACAAAAGGTAGGGAATTGTTGCTTAATAATAATATTTATTGAAAAATTCTTGTCGTCAAGTGATATGTCGTTTGTAAATTTAAAGGATATTGTTTAATCCTTAAACTAAATTATTAAAATTTCTCATTGGCGAAAAAATTTAGAATATTTATTGCGTTTAATTCATTCTACAAGTAACTCGTGGAGAGATAACGTTGAATAAAGTCGATTTTGATTTATGGAATTAATGATAATTTATCCTTATCGACTTTCATTCCATCGAAGAATGAAACGTTACTCTTGATTCAATCTTGATCCCAAATTGACAGGATCAAGTTTAAAAGATCAGATCAGAGGAGGAAAAGTTTAATGGATTCTGATCACTCTAGATATTGCAAGCATCTCATGACAAGCGTGAATACCAAGCAAAGTTAAACGTGCTGGCCATGTTCTTATGGAAGAAAATATGTGCACGTAACTTGTTATCCAATAATAATTAATTATTCTCAACTTGTTACAGTGTCACTAGTGTTACAAGGACTCTGAATGCATAAATGAATCAAGATACAAGTATGAATAATATTTAGTATAATATCAAAAAATAAATTCATATTTTTTTTTAAAATTGTTTTATATAACACATCACGTGTATGTAAATCACAATATTAATAAAAATGAGATTTTTTTAAATATATATATATATATATATGAAACGTAGTATTATATTTTAAAATTATATTTTAAATTTATTATACGTTGCAAAATTTTTATATTTTATAGATAAATAGATAATGAGAAAAATGAAAAGGAAAAATTTGTAATAAATTATTCAAAAATTCGTACGACAAATAAATCCAAGGAATAATATAAAATTTATCCTTTCCTAAAACTTCAGTAACCGTTATGACAGTCGACGCACAAACATTTCCGGCTAATTACATCCTGTTGGTCGTTAATTTCTAACAATACCGCATTTTTCGTCGTTACTTTTATGAGAGAGATGCGCGCACAAATGTTTTTCCAACAGAAAGAAAAAATACATATATATATATATATATAT